CATGGAGCCTCCATTTGCCTATTGTCAAATGAGAATACTACCACCCACGAGGGGGAGGGGACCTCCAAACTCAGAATGATCTTTTAGAGGGCAGGCCGCTTGTTGTACAGGCTTCCCCTGCTGGGTACGTGTTCTCGGAAACCATCGGCATCCGTGGACCAGTTAGTGTTGTTGTGAGAAGCTGTGTTCGGTTTCAGTGAATTTGTTTTTGAAGATTCTTTCAATGTGTTTTGCCCGTTTCATGAGGGGTGATTTACAAGCACATCTGCCCACACCACGCTGAGTGTTCAGCAGTTTTTGACCCAAAACAGCATGGCACTGTGCCCCACCCTCCCTATTCACCTGCTCACGCCCTGAGCGACTTTTTTGTTTCCCCGAATGAAAAAGTCCTCAAAGGGAAACGTTTTGCCAATGTGGAAGAGGCGAAACAAAAAACAGCAGAAGCACTCAAAGACACCCAAATGGATGAGTTCAAAAACAGTTTTGAGCAGTAGAAAAGCGTCTTGGTAGGTGTATTGCATCAAACAGAGAGGACTTTGAAGGTGACTGAAGCTTAAACATGTAAGAATTAAGTACACTATTTTTTAATACATAAATGCCAGGGTTTTTTGGTTCCCTCTTGTACATTCAGGTTTGTTTGGAGGATCAGAGGTAAAATAAAAGGTCCAGCACGATTCCTGGCACAGGGTAGGTGTTCATGACTTGGCGAGCCATGGTCGCACCCTCCAGCATGACCGTAAGGACCTCTGGGAGGCAACACAAATACCCCGCACATCCTTTGGGGCAGCTGCTGGACCTCTGGTGTGGATAGTAAGTGACGAGTGGGATGTTTGTCGAAATGCTGGGAGAAATGGAGGTGAATTTCTGAAATGTTCAGTGGAATTCTCGCAAGGCAGTTCACATACCAATGAATGGTCCTTGGTGATCTCAGATTCTTCATCTTTTGATGTAATTTGTTGTTAGAAAGACTATCTGGCTTTGACTTTGGGTAGTGGAAAGGAGCCCTAAAAGGTCTCTTCAGGACTCAATATCCCCACTGGAAAAGTCATCGACCCCTTAGAATGCTAGTGTACCTGCATCGCTGTGACAAATAAGACTTCCGCGTCCTTCTAGGGCTCAGGGGAAAACTGAGGAGGTGTTTTTCTTGTCTGTGTATCCCCTGGGACTTGTGGGCACAAGAAGTTTCTAAGTTGTTAACTTGAGGAGAATTTATGCTGCATGTACCCACCTCTCTCGTTGCAATTGGTGTTATGTGCAAGAAAGTTAAAAGAAAACAAAGAGGATAGGATCAGTCTGTCTCAAAAGAGAGGCACGTTTATTACAGCTTCATCTGAATTCCATTTTTATATGTATCGTTTCCAAGAATGTTTGCACCGAGTGAAGTTTTGGAAGGAAAACAAATTTGAATTGGCTTCTGCAACGTTTTCAGACAGATATTTAGATAGAAAAAAATTGCCTTGTCGCACCTGTAATCCCAGCACTTTGGGAGGTCAAGGAGGGAGGATTGCTTGGGCCCAGGAGTTTGAGACCAGTCTTAGCAACATAGTGAGACCTTGCCTCTACAAAATAAATAAATATATAAATAAATAGCTGGATGTGGTGGCACATGCTTGTAGTCCTAGCTACTTGGGAGGCTGAGGCAGAAGGATTGTCTGAGCCCAGAAGGTGGAGGTTGCAGTGAGCCATGATTGTGCCACTGCACTCTAGCTTAGGTGATAGAGTAAGACTCTGACCAAAAAAAAAAAAAAAAAAATTAATCGCCCTTGAAATGAACCACCTTGGTGGCTCAGCCTGTAATCCCAGTGCTTTGGGAGGTCGAGGTGAGTGGATTGCCTGAGCCTGCGGGTTTGAGACCGGCCTGGACAACTTGGCGAGTCTCTACAATAAATAAAAAATTAGCCAGATATAGTAGCACGCACCTGTAGTTCCAGCTACTTGGAAGACTGAGACGGAAGGATCGCTGGAGCCCAGCAGGTTGAGGCTGCAGAGGTCAGGAGCAGCCACTGCACTCCAGTTTGAGTGACAGAGTGAGACTCCAACTCAAAAAAAAAAAAAAGAAATGAACCACCTATAAGAAAAACTAACAGTGTAATTAAATGACTAGTTTATGTGTATTTAATTTTTTCAGCTACTGCAAGAAACTATAACTAAGTGGACACTCAATTTGCATGGCCAGTTTGTGTTAAATTAAAAGCCCCTATACAGGCCAAGTCGTGGTACAGTGATATATATGTTTGGTTGTCTATGGAGCATCACGAGTCTCCTTGGAACGTGGCAGCCATGGTTCTTTCTCCGGATAGCTGGAAGAACTTGTTGGCTGACGAGAGTGCTTGTGCCAGATCATTCCGGATCCTCAAGGCGCCACTGATCTCCCCAGAGCCCAAGCTCACGTGTTTCACCCAACTTGCCACCTGACCCGCCACCTTGTCCAGGTGGCTCTGCCCAGATGTGGAAGCAGACACCAGCTCTCCCCACTTGGGGGATGGCTTTGGCTTCTGAAGCAGGAGACACCACAGGGCCTGCTCTGGAGCTGGGTAAGTACAATCTAGAAGGGAGGGGAGGGAAACCCCATTTTTGATCACAAGAGAGGAGACCCAGTCGATAAACCTTTTCCCTACTCCCAGATGAAGCATGTTATGATGTAATGGTTCATACAACCCCTTAGACAACATTCTTGCACAATTGACTCAGCTGTGCTTGGTACTCAGTGTGGTCAACTGGGCAACGCACCGCTGTGTTTACTCTTTTTCCTTCTGGGTCTCATTCCCCTATCTCCACTCCTGCTTTCTTGGGGCTACCATACCCAGTATAGTCACAGTACCTGAGCTCTGCTTTCTGGGAAGCCTAGGTTAAGACAGTTCTCTCTTCATTTTATTTTATTTTATTTTAACTCAGCCAAAACTTTCTCATGACTCTCATGTTAACATAACCTCCAGGCAATGTCATTGAACAGATAAGGACTTTGTGTATGAGTTTGTCAGTGTACATTGTAAGCAAACTCTGTCTTTAAAGAGTATAACATGGGGCCAGGCTTGGTGGCTCAGTCTGTAATCCCAGCACTTTGGGAGGCTGAGGCGAGAGACTGTGGGTTCAAGACCAGCCCGGGAAACTTGGTGAGACCTCGTCTCTGCAATAAAATAAAGAATTAGCCAGGCGTGATAGCATGTACCTGTAGTTCCTACTACTTGGAAGGCTGAGGTAGAAAGATTGCTGGGGCCCAGCAGGTCGGTGCTGAGTTGGCCATGAGCGTGCCACTGCACCCTAGCCTGGGCGACAGAGTAAGACTCCAACTCAAAAAAATAAAAATAAAAATAAAGAGTATAACATGGTACTTCTCATCATCCATCAGCCTATGGATTCTAAGATTTGTGCCCAAGGGGTTTCTGCAACACTCTACATCTCAGGAGTTCTACTAAGTTTTGCTTTGGTCTGAGCAACATTTATTGTGCCAGAATTCATGTACCTGAACTTAGTGACAATGCTACTTCTTTACAAAGTTACGGTGCCTCCAGTAGCTAAATATAAAGCCAGAAGGAACTGTCATCTTGTGGGTGGAGAAGCAAACCAATTCCGTCCTTAGATGATTAGACTTGTCCAGGTTTGTGAGATGACACCAGCTTCATAACCCAAATCAAGCTGTCAGATGTTGAATTAGTTTTGGATAGGTTTCGCCTGTGGAGAGGGGTTAAGCATTGTACCTAGCTGGAATGAATATATACGTAAAAAAACTCTCCAAAATAAAATAAAATAACTTCTTGGGGGAGGGAAATGTGCTCATTAGAATAGAGCTGGGAGGTATGTAATGTAGAAAAGAGACAAGTATGAAGGTTATGCTCCGTCCTATGGGAAGAACTCAGAAAACAGTGCTCTGAGCTGATCTAGCCCAGGAAAATAATCCTCTTTGCTCTGTCTTACTGGAGGGAGTTTTTTTTGTTTTGTTTTTTAATGAACCAGGAAGAATGTGACCAGACACTTCTTTTGAAAAGTATTGACTTGGTTCATGTCCTGGCCAAATCATGCTGAGCTTCCTCTGTGTGGAGGAGAGCCCATGGCTGTACTGGAAAGGGATGTGCTTTCGGACTGAACTTGTGGTATGGACAGTTGTCGCCTTTTCTTGTACTACCGTTCTTCCTCAAGACTCAGACCTTTCTTTGCGGAATCATCCCTGCCCCAACGCTCAGCCCATGGTTTAGGTGGAGCTAACTAGACCTCCTCTCCCACACTGGGTTCTAGGATTTCAGGGGACTAAGCTAATTAGCACATCTGTCCTCCTCACCACAGTGACTGGCTCAGATATGAGCACATGAGCACACTGAGTGGGCCAATGAGAATCAGGTCAGAATTAGCAGTAGAATTATTGGGGAAAAGAAACTGTCCACTCTACTTGGAGCTGGAGTGATTCCTGGAGCTATGGGGGCCCACCATAAAGCGAAAACATGGACGTGAGGTCTACATGAAGGAAAGGATGGAGGGAAGAGCTTCCTGAAACTACCGAGTAAGCATCCAGATCCAGGTGTGTCTGAAGCTGCCATGCCCCCAAATTCCCCGATATTAAAGTCAATACTTGTCTTTATGTTTAAGCCAGTGTGAGTTAGCTTTTTGTCACTTGTCACTGAGATACTCCTAACTAACATGTATTCAGGGCCCTGAGGATCGAGGTATATGTTGGCAGTTGCTGGTAATACAATTCCATGAATAATACTTCTGAACATCTTGAGATAAGAAGTAGTTATTCTTGGACTGTAAGGCCATTTCTCCTTCCTCCTCCCCATCTCGTGGCTCCTTCCAAAGAGTTCAGACTACATCAGCACTGTCCCACTCTCCTCCCCAACCCCCATGTATGCCTCCCAGGTACCTTTGCTTATTCTTGTAGATACTCATGAAGCCAAGGCCCTCAGCATTTGTTCCCTCCTGTTAAAAGCAGTGGAGATGACAAGGGCAGGCAACTCTTTGCCCAATTAGAAAATACGGATATTTAAAGAAAGAGCCAGGAAAGCAAGTCTGTTATAAGCTTTTTCTTTTTTCCTTTTTTAGGATTTAAGCTTATGAGTTTATCTACGCCCACTATATTCATAATTACAATTTTATATCTGCATACAAAAGCTATGTAAAAATCCATTTTTTCCCAAATATACAAATTTTCTTTTTGGATAGTTTAAAACATTTTGATCACAGATGTCAACAGAGTTTTAGGCTGAAAAAAATATTACCATCTAGCAATATCACTTAACACTGTTTGCAAAACACAAATCTTCCAATGACTGTAAGTCTTTTTCTATTTTATAGTATTTGTCTGACTTTCAGGGCATGAAAACATTTTTTTGGGGAAAAAAAAAAAGTGTTTCTTCTGAGGAAAGGATGGAGAACGAACTTGGCTCTATGGTCAAATTAAAAATGCCAGATGAATAAAGGAGGATCAAGAGAAAGAAGTGTAATGTTGTGTCTGCTTGTTCATGCCCTGACAATTCCTCTATCGACAACACATGTGTAAAGTGTCTTCTTCTGTCTACATTGTGCTTTATAATTTACACGAGTATTCTTTGCATCCTGAGGAGGACAGATTTGTATTTGATTGTCTTGTGCATAAGTTGGGTCAGCTTTAACTGTGCAACAGAAAGCCACAAACAGCGTTTTACCTGCACGATATTGCTCTTGAAGGCGGCATTAATTAATGTGGAAACACACTAGAAATGCACACTTTTTGCATTTGCAAACATTTATACAGCACAGTAAAAATTCTGTGATAAGGCCAAACCTTTTTTTTCCCCCAGTCTGTTTTTTTTTTTTTTTGAGTGTGTATGTTTTTAATGTATTTTTTTTAAAGATTAAAGTAAAATGTCTCAATTGTAAAAAATACACACCAGGCAAATCCTTACCTGGATAATAAATATCTACATCACAGTACAATAAAATTTCTTCTCTATAAAATTTAAATATGGATTATAGCCTATCACTATCAAAAGAAACACTATGCTAATATTTCCATATTATTAAAATAACAGGAAAAATTACGAGCTTATTTTAGAACCTGATGCCAAAGCCATTGGAAAGGGCAGAGAGAATCAAATGTCTGTCATCACTCTCCTGATGAGGAACTGTGGCTTGGTTATTCACTTAAATTCAGTTCATGAAAAAGGTTTAGCCTTACAAATGCTGGCTACATTTCCAAAACCATAAGACCAATTTCATAATTTATGACTCATGCAGCAAAAGGTCAATAGGACATGAATAGGTTTGAGTTCCAGAGGATAAAAGGTACCACTGACAAGGACATGCTTGGAGGGTGCTCCTCGGAGGCTGAGTTCGTGGGGGGCCGAGCGTGGTGGGGGGGTGAGGCCGTTACCCCTGTTCATGGAGGAGCAAGGAGTCTGGCATTGCGGGTGCAGAGTTGGGGCCTGGTGGTCCACCCCGTCACTGCTCTGCATACTGAAGAGTTGTCACTCGGGGAAGGGGGGGCGTCGCTGGGCTGAGGTGTCAACACGTCAAGCGCGTCATTGAGGACCGAGGCTCATTTGACTAGAAAAAGCTCTGAGGCGGCACGTGGTGTTTGGAGCAGAATCATAAAGAAGGACAGATCTTACTTTTTTCACTATTTCTGGAAATACTGCACATCTAAATCGAAGAGCAAAGTACACTTGAGGGTTACAAACACACGCGCACACAGGCACACACACACACACCCCATACCACTTGTCCCTAGAAGTGGAGGGATTTATATATAAATAAGAATCCCAGTGTGACAGGTCTGTTCCCCTGTCCTGGGAGGTCTCCCCACCATGGGGGGCAGGGGTGAAGAGTGTTTCCATCAGGTCCATACATGATTTGAAAGTCTGGACAATACGTGAAAAAATGTTTTAAAAATCCAGAGCAAGTCCCTCAAATGAATTTTATGAGATGGAGTCTTGAGATGCACTAAGTACCTCTGTCAGTTTCAGAAGGAACAAGTTTTGTTGCTTTGAATACCAGGGCCATGATCCTTTGGGTCCTTATAATCTTTCCTTCCAACCTGAAGTACTCTAAGGCTTGTCCTACTCAGCATAAAGCCTTCAACATGATTTCTAGACCAGCAATTTGCCTGTTTAAGGCAATCATTTAAGGAGCCAAGGATCAAACCTTCCTTGACTTGGGGCTGGCTAGGTGACAGTAGATACACTAGGCCATTTGACCAATTCCAATCATGGTCAGTCCCCAAAGCATTTTGATTTGGCTTGACATCAGGCTCTGTACTGACATTTGAATCTGGGTGTCTGATATACTGAGGAATTTGTCAAACAATATGAGACAACATCCCCCAGAAGACCAGATGCCCAGGAGTCTGTGAACCTGTCAAGTACCTGCCTGCCCAGCTTCCTCTTTTTCCCTTGGGCAGGAGACCTTGCCCTAGATAACAAAGTTTCTCAGTGTTAACTTGAAGCGTAGAGGTGGATGAGCGTTCCTCTTTCAAAGAGTAGTTCTCCAAGAAGACCTAAGAGAGAGGGAGCTAAGAGGTTGACACAGTGAGCGCTTGAGGAGACTGGCAAGAGGCTGCCTAGATAAAACCAAACCAAACCAAATCTGTCTGTGAAGTCAAGCAGGCAACCTGCCATGAACTTCGTGCTTATCATTTTAATTTCTTCACTGCTTTTCTTTCTCTGGCTAACAACAAGTCCCCTAATGATGTTCTTGTCTCCTTTTCCCTAGAAGCCAATAAGGTTGCTTTAGTGTATTGAATATTCAAATTTCTCCCCGATTATTTCCAGTCACACTTGGGATCTTCAAGGATGTTCTTCTTTGTCCGAGGCCTCTAAATAGTTGACTAGTATTGTGTTGAATTCTTATTTTGATTCAATACCAAATATAGATTCCTGAACTAAGTGGGCCATACTTTTTGTCTCATAAAGCTAGAAATTTGAATACGAAAGGAACAAACAAAGAACCAGATTCCTCTCCCACCTCTGAAATTCACACAATATTAAGGGTGGGAAGGACTTTCGAGAGCACAATTTATTCACTTGGTGAGAAAACCAAGACTTAAGGTTACAAATCTACTGGTGAACAGAGCAGAGACTAGAACTCAGGTATCTGGACTTCTGGGCCAGTTCATGTTCCACCAAAATTAAAAAAAAACAACCAGTCCACTTGGTTTTCACAGTGACTTTCATTCCTTTGTTTTTAGGTAAATCTCACTGGTATGGCTTATTTTCCCCCAATATTTCCAGGATAAGGCAGTAGAAGGCAGGCAAAAGAATAGTTTCTATCTACTCTGCCAGTGAAGAATAAGATACATTCAGTTTCATGGGTACATTCTTTGCCCATCTTCTGACATTGAAGTGTTGAGGGTTACCGTTTGTCTTCTGGGCACAAGCTACTCCAGTGTGGGTCACTGGGAGGCAGGTTGGGCTGGAAGGTACGTGCTTGAGCACAGGGTCTGCAGGTGTTTTCTGTTGCGTATCTGTTAGAGTGATATAAGGGACAGGAGGGTGAGTGGCAGGGCCAGTCTTTGTTTAGAGGTGGTCAAGCTATTTAGTGCCTCAGAGTCGGAGGGAAGAAGGGGACTTGGGGACTTTTGCGAATAAAGCAAAGCACTTGAGGATCTAAGCCCAGAAGGAAACATCCTCAAGCCATCAGATGTGAAGGGGCTCTCAGAACACTGCATTTCCTTCAACTCAGAATTCCTCCAGAACAAGACCCAAACGTCCGCTTGTTATTCCTCCTCGCCGAGAAGATGTGATCCGTAGGGAAATCTGTCGTCAGCGCAGCAAAGGTGCAACCAGGATAAACAGCTTCCGGAGCGTGGGGAATGACAGAGGAGATGCCACCGAAAAGGGATGCCACCCTGTCAACGGGTGTGATTTCTGTGGAAATGTTCTCGGGGCCTAAATTGTCAAGAAGCCTTCTGACTGGGAGGAAATACTAAGTGGGTTTTTGGAAACCATGACACTGACTTTGGTGAAGAGTTCTAATTTTTCTGGTCTCACTGAAGAAAGTTATTTTCCTTGTTGCTTTCAGTCTGTCAGATACCTGCACATCCTTGACTCATGCCGCTGTATAACTTGAATTAAATCATAAGGTTGTAAAAAAGATATCAAAAGAACAGATGATTTTTTTTTAGGACACAAAGATTCCTGTACATTCTCTAGGAGAGACTAAAGAGTCCTGGAAACAGCGTGCTCTTGAATAGACGAAAATTTGTTCGAGTTTTTTCCTAAAAAGTCGAAAGCCACATCTCGCCAAAGGTGGTCTGCGCTCTGCTCACTCGAGTCCTGCAAAAATCAGGACTGGCTGGAGACCACCGCGTCCTCTCGGTTTTAAGGCCTCTCTCGTGTCCCGCAGTGCCATTTTGCTGGCTCGAGTCTCTGACCAGGGAGCTGGTGATGCTTGGTGCTGGTGAGTTTATGCCATCCCCAACCCTACCTCCACAACTGCGAAACCTTCAAAGCATTCACATCAAAGGACCGGAGAGCGAAATGCCATGGCTACGAGGACCGCATCCCAGGGGCGATTCCATCCGTGTCTATGCCAAGGACGACCTCCCCTTCCCCTCCCAGACCGTCCCTCCCGACGCGAAGACACAGAAAAACAGACAAAGAAGAGCTAGGCCATGGAATGGATGACACCCAGTCGTGCTGTGGGATCGTGGGAATGGACGCCGTCAGTCTAGTCCTCGAACACTTCGAGGAACAAGGGCGGGAAGAGTTCCGTGGGGCACTCCACCTTCATGTGCAGGAAGCGGCTGGCGTGGCATGCCCCGATCATCCGCAGGTCAGTCACCTTCATCAGGAGTTTTGGCCAAAAGTGTGTCACGTGGTGTTTTCGGTAATTGATATAGTGTTCAAAGGCCAGCAGGAAACTGTCTTGGTATTTCTCTATCCTCTCCACGCAGGCGAGGCCTGGGCGATCTGAGGAAGGGGGAAAAGAAGACGGGTGTTGCTCTGGAGGCGGCCGGGGAAGGGGACTCGCCCGGGCCAATCCCAGGCCTGCAGAGGGAAGCAGGCAGGGTTGGGGGCACTTGCTTTCCGGGAATGAGCATGGGTGCAGCATGAACTCCGGGGCACCAGGGAACAGCATGCCAGGGGAATGGCATCATCGCTGTGAAGGGGTCAGTGCTTCGTTCAGATAAATATCTCTGGTTTAGACAAGTCACCTCCTTGGCTGTGAAAGGTGACGCCTCCCTCCCAGGGCATGGAAGGAGAAGCCTAACGTGGCTGGAATATTCCGCGTCAAGAGGGGAACGACTGTGAGACTTTCTCCACTGGGAGACAGCCCAGGACAAGCACGGAAGTGTGTGGAAGGGGAAGAAGTGTTAGGGGACTGGGGACATCGCAGGGGGCCTGGAGGCCAAAGGAGGCAGGTAGGGCAGAAAGAAATTCCCCGGAGGACAAAGAAGCACCATGTCCAACTTTCAGTTGCTTGGCAGGCTGCCACGAGCCAACCTTTCCTCTCCCTTATACCTTGCTACCATTGCTACCGGCAGCAGCCTTGTGTTGGTGGTGATATGGGGGTTGAAATGAAAAGAAAAGGGGAGGTGGGCCGTGCCAGAGCCATGCAGAGAAGGGAGGAGCCATCGTGGGAGATGGAGACCAGGGTTCCGGAAAGCCCAGGAAATCTTCCCAGGTGTTGGGCGGACCACTGGACCTCACAGGAACTGGGTGGGGCTTAAGGCAGTTTCTAAAAAGTGACAAATGAAGAGATGACACAAGGTGGCTGAACAGCTGGGGACACTTGGGTGACATCCAGGTTACTCTATAAACCTGGACAAATTTCTCAGGTAGCTCCAGGAAGCCCAAGCCCCGGTCCCCCTCCCCAGTTCTTTCAGTTTGCTCTTTCTGGCTCTAATCAAAAGAGTCTGATCTTCAAGAGTCCAGGTACTGAGTTACTGAGGATCAGCAGGAGTGGCTGATGTCTCAGTCCACCCTTCAGAGTCTAAACAAATGACACGGCCCCCTGGAATCACCCATTCAGCTCAAATGCAACTTGCACATTTTTGTGTTGTGTTTCCCTTCATATCTGACTATGCTGCCCTGAGGATCTGCTCACTCTCTCTCCCTCCCTCCTCCCTTTCCCCACTTTCTTTCTTTCTTTGAATGTACAAGAAGAATTCGCCACAGGATCCTTTAACTTTTGATCCAGACAGAATATTAACGTAATTCTTCTTTGGATGTATTCCTTCAAAAGGGAAAAAAAAAATAACCTGGGTTTTGTGGCATCAAAACCCTGTCCTTTGATCAGAGAGAAAGGTAACATGGTCATATAAATTACTATGGAGAGAATGAACTGACATTTTGATAATGTTCGAATTGTATAAACAGGATATTGAAGAAAGAGACATTTTTAAAGAGACTGTGTTTAACTCCTAAAGAAAAAAGTTCTCAAAAAAGTGTCTTTCCGATCATTTTCATTTTTGCTCTCTGAGGATCACTGCATGACCAAGGAGCTTAGCAGTAGTAGCTTTTGGAAAAGTCTTTGAAGACGAGGTTTAAGATATTGTGCAACTGAAATGCCAAACAAGACATGGGGCTTAGAAGACAAGACCAAGGAGGAACTAGAACTCTGGGGCTCCCACGGGGAGCTGGCCCCTGTCACGTGCACGTTGTCCCATATTATTTTCTGATTCTGGCAGTATGAATGAAAAAGGCCCACATCACTAGAGTGGAGAAGATTTTTTAAAGTTATTAATTTTCTACGGTAAAAGAAATTACTTCTTTTTTTTTCTAAGTCTACTATATCTCCATTTCCTTGAGCAAATACATTTCTAGGTCAGCTTTAAAAAAAGAATTCGGCTGAGTTAACTAGGAAACACCAATTCTACAAAGGATTCTCAACATACTTTGCGACTGGTATTTTACTAACATATTTGGTCACTTACCCCATGAACATTTCTTAAATTCTATAAATACTGGCCCGGTGTTAGGTGTGTGATTAGGCACATCTGTGTCCTCAAAAAACAACCAGTTCACAGGGAGATATGGACAAGTTAACATGGTAGTAACAATGCAAAGTGACAAGTGTGACACTTGGGGTGCTCTGAAAATGTGGAGAACTCTGAAGCCACCTTCTCCTTAAAGACTAGCTTACGGCCAGGCGCGGTGGCTCAACCCCATCATCCCAGGCACTTTGGGAGGCCGAGACAAGAGGATTGCCTGAGCCCCGGGGTTCGACACCAGCCTAGGCAACTTGGTGAGACCTTGTCTCTACAATAAATTCAAAAATTAGCTGGGTGTGGTAGCGCGCGCCTGTAGTTCTAGCTACATGGAAGGCTGAGGCGGAAGGATCGCCGGTGCGCAGCAAGTTGATGCTGGGGTGGTCGTGAGCATGCCACTGCACTCCAGCCTGGGTGATGGAGTGAGATTCAAATCAAAAAAAAAAGAAAAGAAAAAAGAAGAGAAAAAGACTAGCTTGCCTGAAGGAGTGTGATGTGTTTTGTACTTCTTTATTATGACATGATCCCTGAAGAAAAAAGTATCAGCATTGTTGTCTACCCTTCACTGATGGAACTTAGAGGTTTTCATAACAAGCTATGGTGGATTAAAGATGGCTGCCCATTCTTTGCTATTCCTACCATCTGGAGGTGGACCGCCAGATCTGAGCTGGTGCTTAGACTTGCTTGGACCAGTCCAAGGTGGCTGAAGTGATGCTGTGTGACTTAAGTCCAGGCCTTAAGGGATCTGTAACTTGTGTGTTCGTGTGCTTGGAACGCTCCCTCTTGGAATCCCACAGCCAGGAAAGAAGTCTAATTATACCCTGCAAGAGGGAAGACCGCATGGAGAGAGACCCGAAGCTGTGTTTGTTGCCTGTTCCCCAGCTCCAGGCATCTTGACGTTTTAAGTCACTGTGTGCTGGGTTGCTGTGCTGTAAAGCAACACAGATAACTGAAACTTTAGTTGAAGCTGAGCCACGAACAAATTCTAGTTCCGATTTCCACACACAGAACTTAACATGTACCATGTGGTTGCTCACATCTGTATCCTATACACACAAGACCAGAAGGAGACAGGGTTGGCCAATGACTATGGTGTCTGCTGAAGGTGAACCATTTCGTGGCGTCTTCAAGATAATTCCTTGGGTTTCCTTCTACCCTGGGAGGCTGTGAAAAGTATCAGACACCTGATATCCCCCTTTAGTTCCCAGTCCTTTGGCAACCCCCCAACTTCTCGCTGAAGGAGAGTCAGCTATGTGTCCGAAGCTGGAGGCGGACCGAAGACTCGACAGGTGATTGGAATGAGCACCAGGCAAGCGCAAGCTCTCTGGAGTCAAGGCACACTTACCTGAAGACATCAGCAGGACGGCCTGAAGGAGGGCCACTTCAGTGTCATCCAGGTTGAAAGAAGACAGAGACATGCCCAGGTCAAAGATGGCGTCCGACACCACCCCAAGACCCCCGTTTTTCAGCTGGCCCCGGGTCACTGCCATTTCCCCATTCAAGGTCAAAGTCTCACTTTCTGGGTCGTAGCGCACAGCAGCGCGGAGGGACATGATCTCCATGCAGCAGCCTTTCAGGAGGATTATCTGGTCTTCACATGGCAGCTGAAAAGAACCAGCCCGTGTCAGCAAAGAGCAAGTGGACACACGCCCACCAGGAGCAACCTGCAGTGGCGTCAAAGCATCGGGGGTGACCTTCTGGGACCCCCACGGGTCCTGCCTTCTTTGAGCCCGGGGTTCTTCCCTCCCTATTTGAATGTAGACTTTCAACAGCCACTTTTCAAACTCCAAGCTGGTTGGAATCCTCGCCAACTGTAATTTTGGAGTTTGAGTTTATTTTATGACAGACACAGCTATCCAACCTGTATCACAGTTGGATGTGTGCAAATCTATAGTAATAAGCCCTCGGTTTGGAGGCTTGTATTGTAACTCTAACTCCAACTGTGCTTGAGAGCAGGGTTTATGTTAAACTCACCTTTTTTTGGTCTTGTAGCTCCAACAGTTAACAGCTGAGTCTACTGTTTAGTTGATAACTGACTTCTCTTTATTTTTTAAAGCAAGTTTTCTCTTTGAGCCTCTTAAAAGGCACAGTTTAGAAGGTTGCTGACAGATGCATGTTACTTAGGAGGCCCAGAGATACAGAAGCTTTACCCAAGCTCACTCAGCGAGTTGAAGGTGGAGGGGAGACTGGAATTCAGACCTCCTGACTCCTAAGGTCATGTTCTCAGCACCACAGATGCCAGAATTACTCAACACCTTGAATCTTTCTGCCAGTGTTGCAATCTCATTTTAAGCTCATTTGGTTACCCTGTTAATTAGGATTTGTGAAAAAGTGGTAACATGAATAATAAACTTAAAATGAACTCTGATCATAGGCAAAAATAATAAAAAGCCGGAATTTTGTTTTCTGGAGGGAGAGAATGTTTCATTAAATGCCATTCTCAGAATATTTGGAAAGGCTCTTAGTCCATGGACGTTTTGGACGAATTGGGTACCAGGCCAAGATTTCCATGCGTGACCTTAATCTTCACAGCAATACAGTGCGGTAGCTATTCGAATTCCAATTTTATTTACAAATGCAGAGAGCCAGGCACTGAGAGGATCCCGTGCTGACGGCGGGTGAGGGTAGGATTTGAGGCTGGATCTGTCAGACCCAAGGCCAAGAGAGAAAGACAACAGGTCTCTTTCAGTAAGTAGCACGAGTATGACTAAGTTTCTATAAACAACGAATACGTAAATTACATATACTATCAATCTCTTTATTAAAGCAGTTACAAATTCCTTCTGGAAAGCGCTCTTGGCAATACTCAACTAGCCCGATTTAGGTTATTATATAAAAGTGAAAGTAATACTACTGGATCACATTTAAAACACTGGGTATTTCGTATTTTTTCACTAGCTCAGCCTCGTCGCTTTACCATTTACTTTCAAACTGCGTAGCTGTTTCTACAGAATAAAATTCCTTGCATATTTGGTTCTGGAGTCTGCACCTATGGATTTTCTCCTTCCACCCATATTCTAAAAAGCGCTGTGACTGGCTTTTGTCTAGTTTCTGAGGATACGATCCAAGAATATCCTTGGAGTTTTGGCCCAAGAGCATGGCTAGAAATAGGGAACTCCAGCTGGGATGGACTCTTTCCAGGGAAGAGGGACTGGCTGGGAGGGCAGAGGCTGGCCTCACTGCTTGGCAGGTGTGCTATGCTTCTGCCCCGCCAGTGTCCCCAGTGGCTTATTCAACACAGATCGCTGGCCCCACCCCAAGAGTCTGCATTTCTCCCAATTTCCCAGGTAGCTCTTGTGGCTGTTTCTAGGCCCCTAGTCTTGAGAGCTCTTGGCATCGACCAGACCAGCACGAAGCAGTGACAAATCAGATCAAACCACTGATTTTCAACATCTGTCGAGAAGCATGAAGGTAGGGCAGGCCCTACCTTCAAAGCCAAGTCTGATTATAGATGAAATAGAAGTTTTCTTTTTAAAACCTGCTAACTGTTGATGATTAGTTCAAGTTTAAATAAAAGCGGAACAAGTGTTTGCGAAGGATCACAGGTTTAAAAACTGGGCCAGACGCCTTTTCCTTTAAGAGGGATTTGTAGGATCCTCGTGAGATTTGTTCCAACACGTGGGCAAATAATCTCTTAGGCACCTGCCAAAATGCTTTCATTGTGAGAAGACTCCAACCAGGGTCTGACAGGCAGACATGGGGACACTCCCATGGGTTCTTCCTGTCTCCTTGGGTGAGCATCACTCAGGTTGATTGGCACAGATGCCAGGGCCCTGCACTCTAAGAGCGTTCTTGTGTGTTGTCTGGGCAGCTCTGCCAGTGATGGTTCTAGGCCTTGCAAAGTCCCCAGTGTTGTCACACCAACCCTGCTTGGTGGGCTGGCGTGCATCTTAGCAGAACAATGATCAGGAACACAATGTGAACAGCAGATAGCAACCAACTGCCTCTGGTCAAAGACCCCAAAGGTTTCGAGACCACTCGGATCTCCAACCAGCTCCATGGGTACCTCAGGGGCCTACCCAGTTCATTCAAAGAGAGTATAAAAGGCTAAAGGGTCCCCAGAAGGTCACAGACGCTGGGAACACAGGTGCCTCTGCTGTGAAAGTGACCTCCCACCCCCGGGACCTTTTGTAATTTGGAAGTCACAAACGATCAGGGTCGAAAGACACGGAATCATGGAATCATGACAAAGAAGAAGCACAAACTTTGAAGGGAAACTTGGAGGGTAAGCTTGCCATTGCCTGTGCTGGGAAAGCCCCATACTGACCCCTAACCCACGCCCCGGACATAAGTGCACAGTGTGCTTGTTGCTGGTAGTGGAGATGGCTTCTTTTTCCCCCTTTTTTAAAAAAATTGAAATCTCTCTCCAGTGGTGAGTTTACATGAGCTTTACATGAAAAAAAAAGATCTCTGGTGGGCATTCAAAGGGCACCACATGGCCAACGGCTGGAGCTGGAGGGGTGGCAAGCTCAGTGGAGTACCTTTTGAGACCCAAGGACCAGGGGACTCAGGGACACAGTCAAAGGGAGGGGATCAGAGAGGTCCAGAAAACAGACCCCACCAACAAAAAATAAAGATGGCAAGAGTGAGGGAAAACAAGGAGCCGGGCACTGATGTCAGAGAGCACACACTTTCTCTCTCGAGGGCAACTGGGTAACACACATCAGAGCCTGCACACCCCGGGCCTTCAAATCCATGTTCAGGCTGTGCCCTCAGGACACAGCCAGGACATTCAGGGCAGCGTATTTATACTAGTGGAAGCCTGGAAATGAACAACCCATATCTGTTATGAAAACAGATAACCTAAATCATGGTAGATCTATCCTTTGGAATGCTATGTGGTCCCTGAAAATCATTTTGGGAAAGAATATAGACATGCTACACCCCACCACTGAGAGTAACAAGTTGGGTGCAGAGACTGGTGCTGGTAATGTTCCCTCCCTCCCTCCCTCCTTCCCTCCCTCCCTTCCTTCCAAGTAGAAGTCTTACCCTGTTGCCTGGGGTTGGAGAACAGTGGCACAATCACAGCTCACTGCAGCCTCCAACTCCTATGCTCTCGTGATCCTCCTGCCTTGGCCTCCCAAAGTAGCTGGGACGACAGGTGTGCACTACCGTGCCTGGTTAACTTTTCTATTTTTTTTCACTTTGTTGCCCAGGCTGGTCTCAAACTCCTGGGCTCAAGTGATCCTCCCACTCGGCCTCCTAAAGTGCTGGGATTACAGGTATGAGTCACCACGCCCAGCCAATATTCAGTTTCTTTATCTGGGTGCTGATTCTTGTGGGTGGGTTCAGTTTGTAAGAATGTATTGAGCTGCATCTTTGTGATATGAGTGTTTACTCTTTAATAAAAAGTTTTAAAAAGTAGTTTCATGAATAGAAAGTGTGCTATAGCATAACTTACATTACTATATATTTCATATATGTGTGTATATACACAAATACTTGAAAAATCTAAAATGGGCTTCAAAATGTTAGCACTGTTATCTCATAATGGTGTTACCACAAATCATTACCTTTATGATGTTGGGTAAATCTTCCATGAACATGTATTATTTTTGTAATGTCCTCCAAAACATGAATACATGTTAATTTTTTAAAAAGTTGTAAAACAGAGTTTTATTAGCAAGAAGAAGAGAAGGAAAAAGGAAGATTCATGGCAGAAAGACCTTCCACGGGCAAGTTTCTCAAAAAGAAAATCACCAATAAGTGCTAATTTTTAAAAAAGATATTGAAGGCTGGAAATCTCCACACCAAATGCACACATCAGAGAAAATTCCTTCCCCAGGACTTCCTGACTTCTCTAGGGACAGGGTGGGTCGCCTCTCCAACCAGGCTGTGGGGATAAGCGTGCCACGTATCCTGGTGCTATAGGCTGGATGTCTGCGTGCCTCCAAAATTCATATGTTGCAACTCAATCCCCAAGGTGGAAGTGGGGTCTTTGGGTGGGGTCATGAGGGTGGGGCCTTCACAGATGGGATCTGTGCCCTTATAAAAGAGATCAGCCGATCACGGCTGCTAACATCAGTTATTTCAGCACTTTGGGAGGCTGAGGTGGGAGGATGGCTTGAGGTCAGGAGTTCGAGACCAGCCTAGGCAATATAGTGAGACCTTGTCTCTACAGAATTTTAAGAAAAAACTGTGTGTGGTGGCGCACACCTGTAGTCCCAGCTACCCTGGAGGCTGAGGTAGAAAGATCATCTGAACCCGGGAGGTCGAGGCTGTAGTAAGTTGTGATCGTGCCACTGCACTCCAGCCTGGGCGACAGAGTGAGACCCCGACTCAAAAAATGAAATGAAATGACATGAAATAAAATAGACCCCAGAGAACTCCGTTGTCCCGCCTACCACCTGAGGACACAGTGAGGTGTAACCATCTATGAACCAGGACGCAAGCCCTCACCAGATGCCGGATGGACTGGCACCTTGACCTTGAATTTCCCAGCTGCCAGCACTGTGAGAAGAACATTTCTGTTGTTTTTCAGCCACCCGGTCTGTGGTATTCTGTGACAGTGGCCTGAACTAGCAAACCTGGGCCCCACCACAGTGAAGCTGGGCTGAGAGGAAGGCACATTCGTTCTCAGCCAGGCCCGGGGGGCGGATTCCCGTGTCCTGAAGACCCTGCCCCGTCCTTCTGGGTAAGGCTTCTGTGAAGACTCAGAAATCGGCCAGGAGAGAGAAGCGTCCCCATTGATGCCTGAGGTCTCTCTGATTCCAACTGGGCCCCAGTATTGCAAACTCAAAGACTCAAAGGAGCCGGAAGCCAAGGCAGGGGGAATCATTCCAGATAGGTGAGGAAACTCAGTTTCTCTCCAGGTGAGGCCAGGACCACTTTTCACCCAGGCAGCCCAGAGAGAGCAGGACGGAACTTCAATGTGGTATCTTTCTGAGTCCCTTTGAAGGTGTGAGGAGGAATGCATTGGCACCTGACAGAATTTTTCAAAGGGAAATGTTCTCCAGAAAACGTAATCCCGTTTGATTAAAAAAAAAAAGGAAATTTAGAAGCAGGATGGCAATGTAAACGATGAAATAAACAGTAGCCTTAGCAGCTAAGGTTTATGGAATACTTTCGATGTGGGCACTGGCCAGTCCCTTTGCATATATTATCTCATTTAAACCTCCCTCTAGCTCTAAGAGGTAGACACTATTAAGATGCCCTCATTATAATTATTATCATTTTTTTTGAGTTGGAGGTCTCACTCTGTCACTCAAGAGTGCGGTGGCACCATCACGGCTCACTGCAGCCTCCACCTCCTGGGCTTAGGTGATCCTCTGATCTCAGCCTCCCAAGTAGCTGGGACTACAGGTGCGTGCTACCACACCCGGCTGTTTTATTTTTTATTTTTGTCGAGACAAGGTCTCGCTGTTTCCTAGGCTGGTCTCACGATTCGCCCACCTCAGCCTCTCAAAGTGCTGGGATTACAGGCGTGAGCCATGGTTCCCAGTCATGTTCCTATTTTTAGAGATGAGATAATGGAGGCTTGAAGACATTCAATTACTTGTTTAGGACGCTTGCCCGTGTAGCTGGCTGGAGAGTCCGCGCCCTCTGCTATCACACGGCAAGGCCCGTTGCAGTTAGAGACGAAAGGGACAGTTGCTGGCCTCTAGTGGGACCGCTCTACAGAGTGCCTTGACGAGGCAGGAAAGAATGAGCTTGTAGGAGAGGAGGGAGGATTTACGGAGCCCTGGCGAGCCCTGGCTGCCATTTAGCTCATTCTTGAGCAGGAAACAGCCACGCAGCCCTCTCTGGGATATGTTAGCAGGAAGCGTGCAGACCTGGGTTCAAACCATGGCGTCCCGTGTGGATAAGTGGGTTGCATGTCTTTGATCTTCATTGTCCCCATCTGTAAAATGGGCTTAGCGAAAGCTACCCCCGAGATTCGTCATAAGGATGCGATGTAGCGTGGGCAAACCTGAGTATGAGTATGAGTATGGTAACGAGGGCGTCATCGGCTGAATAAATGGAAGCCTTTGCTGTCATGACTGCCCAATGCCTGGAGTCAGGGAATGAGGGGGATCTTGCTGGGTCCCCTGTGGGCAAGCCAAGGAATGATGACTGGATGGGGAAGGGCGGAAGACCGGGAAATAGAGTCCATTTTCGTTTTGTACGGATGTTACATTCAAAGGACTAAGTCCCTGCCAATGAATATGAAATTATAAACAGTGCCCAGTCTTCCTGGAAACTGACCCAACTGTAATAAAAACTAATGCAGGGGAAAAACAGCAACAACAATTTCCTCACCTCACAAAACATAGGCAACTTTTTGGCAAAATCCACCACTCTGGTAATTGCTGGTGTGATGATTTTTGTAAAATGGCTGAAGGCTTCCAAGTCGACCTTTCCACCCTCCGGGGCATTCACGATGGGTGCCTGTCCAATGTCTTCCGGCTAGCGGGGAGAAACAGAAAAGATGCCCATGAAGAAGTGCAAGGGAGCTTTATATATCACACTCCTGATGTGGTGGGAAACCTCTTCTGAACTGACGGCCTGTTTATTAACCGACAGCCACATTGTTTATTAACACACTGTACGGTCTATAGACCGTTTATTAACAAACAGCGCAGTTTACCCATCGATGATTTCTTTGAGCAGAGACACATGTGCTGGCCGACGTTTTAACCGGACTTCAGCGATCATGTTTGCTGCAGAAGGGAGGGAAGAGAGAAAAGCAAGATGGAGAGAGAGAGAGGGGACAGAAACTGAATCTTGTCTCTGAATGCACCAAGGCTGTGTCCTTAGACCAGGCGGCACCCATTCTGGGGCTCTGGGCTGGCATTTTCAGAGCTCGGCACATCCTGGTGTGTGTCTGTGTGTGGAAGGTAGGCACAGCCCGGGCAGCCGTGGAGAGGGCCACGGGTGAGCCCTGGCAAACAGCACCCTGTGGATTCTTCCTTCTTCGGACCCCACTGCTGGGGCTCAAAGTTCCTCTCTGCCACAAGGACTCCAGTGGGGTGGTCTCAGCCAAGCACTGAGGGCATATCTCTAAACCGACTACAGGGAACTTGGCAACCTTTGGGCGGAGTGGTGAATTTCCTGTATTCAGTGTCCCCAGGGCACTGTTCTGCTATTTACCTGCTTGAGAGCAGCGCGGCTGCATGGGAGGGGGCATCTGGGGACTTGTTGGCGGTGCCAACTCTCAGGCCCCTCCCCAGGCCTGATGGCGCAGAAGGATTCTCCCAGCCCCAGGTGACTCCAGCCTTTCGAGTCTCATGGCCTCTGCCATCTCTCTCCGGGTGTCTCCTGCCTTCGCAAGTGCTTCCTTCGGGAATGGTCCTGTCCACTGTCCTTTCTCATCTCTGTGACCGTCACACCCACCATTTACTTGTGGCCTGCCTGTGAACCAGTCCTTGACACACACCCAGCCTCGACAGTCCTCGCGCCAGCCTGGTTTGGGGGTGGGGCCCCGGGTCAGTCAAGAGCATGCCCAGAGGCCGGGTCTTCGGTCTGGGGGTGGCCTTGACCCCACACAGCAATCCTCCCAGGTGCTCCACACCGCCCCACCCTATGCAAGGCTTTTCCTTCCTGCCCGCTTTTCGACACCAGGGAACAGAATGACACCCGCCTTGCCGGCCTCTCCGCTGTCTTCTGGAAAGATGTGTCCATGACCAAAGAGATCGGAGACACAAGCCTGGCCTGACGGTGGCCACCTTTGCCTAGAGCCACCGTGAATAGACAGGAAAGAGACCAGGCCACTAGGAGGGGTGGGAGGTGAGGAAGTGACACGAGTGAACCCAGCGAGACGAAGCTCTCACTTGTAGGGCAGCGAGGACACTGCCAGGGCAAGACTTGACCCTAAGACAATGGTCCCTGATGTCGCAGCCTGAGAATCTGCATTTCTAACAAGTTCCCAGGGCCCGGGGATGCCGCCCATGGGGGCCACGCTCCGAGAACCACGGAGCTGGCAGTCTTCCCACAGATCCTCTGTGAGAGCTCACATCAAGTTTTCAGCAGGAGGAGACGAAAGGTGAGGATTTCTCTCTTGCTGCCAGGGCACCAGGATCCGTGGGAGCAGCCCTGAGGCGTCACGGGGACAGCCTCAGGGCGGGATTTAAAAATCACCTCGCTCAAGGTTATCTTATGCGTGAGAACATATGGAACTCAGTTCTTTGTTTCTGTGATAGATCACTGAGTATGATTGACTCCAAATCCACCCAATTTGCTGCCAAGTCCAGATATTTGTCCTTCTTTGTGGCTGCATCACATTCCATTGTGTCTATGTACCACATTTTAAAAATCCAGCCCAGCTCCGATGGGCAACACGGTTGGTTCCGTGTTTTTGCTATTGTGAACCGAGCTGCTACAAAACGATCAGGGAAAGGGTGGGGGTGGAACTGGCAGTTGGTGGAAACTGCTAGGGGAGAGAGGGGCACACCTTGTCAACCAGGGCACCTGCATGATCAATGTTTGTATCCATAACCCTGAATTGTACCGCACGTCTTTACAATAAATAAATTAATTAAAAATAAGAAAGAAAAGAAAGAAAAAAATCACGTGGCACAACAAGCCCTGGCCGCGTGGGGCATTTTTGGATGATCTCACCATTTCTTCTGTTTATTTTTCTACTTCAATTTTTTTCATCGTTTGTGTCGGTGGCAGCGCGTGGCGAACCCCGGTTTCTGTCAGGTTTTCATGAAGAATGACAATGTTTCGGGGCCACCGCTGGCAGAGCCAGCCCAGGGGACGCCACTGGTCCGCTGCCCCTCGGGGTGCAGACAGAAGGGATGGGAAACCCAGTTGGGCAGCTCCCTCTCGCTCACCTGGATGGCGCTAAGAAGGCCCAGCTGCCCCTCCGCTGGGGACTGCTGTGTCCCGGACCCTCAGACACTCCCGCTGTGCCCTGCAATGTCTTCTCGGCCCTAACAGTGGGGCTCGGCTCCTGACCTCATCGACGGGCAAGTGTTGCGTGAAGATCCACCGATGAGCCAATGGGGGCCCCCGTTCAGAAAGGCAGAAGCCGGGCTCGGTGGCTCAGCCTGTCATCCCGCGCTTTGGGAGGCTGAGGCGAGTGGATTGCCTGAGCCCGCGGG